AAAAGCCTCTGTGAGTCAGTGAAGCCTGTGATCTGAAAATCAGAATCTGCATCAAAGCAAAGGGCCTTGACGAGGGTAATGAAGAACCTTCAAAGGTTATGTGTAATGAGCTTCTCTTGCAAAATGCCAAAACTGACAATGATTTTTTTAATAAAATGATTATTTCTTTAATACTACAAGAGAACCATAGAAAGCCCAAAACCATTATGTCAGTTCAACCATGACAAACGATCAATAGTTGAGGCTAAACAAAATCAACCAAATTACATCGCAAAATCCTTTGGATAGGCAGAAACATTGCCCCAAGTCCAAACGATATCTCGAAAACTCAAGAGGATAAATTCCCGAAAACTTTCCCACATGTTGCTTTTCAACCTCACTCCTTATTCATTTTCTTTGACATTATTGAACTACATTTTCTAAAATCACCAAGTCCTGCATAAAAGAAGTAAACCAGAGAAAGTCGGAACAAAAACTTCGTGAACATTTGGGATCAGCAAACTAAATGTTAAGAAGAAGAAAGCTTACTGGACGATTGTATTACGTGTCCATTAGATAATGATACCCTACACAAAAGATTCAGACTAATCAGTTCTTACATTCCAGCAAATTCGTTCGCCAATGGAGCCTCCTCCAGTTCCAAACAAAACTGATATCTATCTATTTAGATAACTTGGTTCTAAATTCATGGTGATTTTTTATGCAGCGAATCTTTGACAGACTTTTTAAGTAGAAACTGATCATTGCTTTGATGCAGATATTCACATGGAAGAAATATAATGACTGCAAACCTCAGGAGGGTTAAATTTTGCTCCAAGATTACTGAGCTTTGCATGGGATTCAGCGTAATCCTTGAAGAATGCATCCTGATCGACAGCATACTTCTCTGCGTAGACCTGAAATTGCATTGCAGTTCCAGTTTTAAAGGCAAAGACTCGCAAGTTTCTTCGTATTGATATATGTTTCAACTTTAGTGTTTTACCTTGAAAGAAGAATCCTCAAAGAGGGCAGCATCAGTAGGTAGGACAAGGAGATCTTCATCTCTCTTTTCCTTGATTTCCTGTTATATAACAATTATATTAATAGACATGACGAAAGAAAAGGGAAGACTTCCATTTAAAAGTGTGAAGAAAGAGTTATGGTCTGAAATACAACTTTGAAGTAGGAATTGTCAAACTTCAACCACTCCGGTGTCCATGACTGTCCTCCTGGTGCCCCCGGTCCATCTTTCTATAATACAAAACATATCGTTCAGAAGTAAAAATTCGTAGTGTTCTATTCCAACTTTTTGCAGTCCCAAACACGACAAACTTGAACCAACAATATGTTATATTACCGTGTATTTCGTCTCTGACTTTCCCCAACCACTACGTTCTGGCCTAGATCTCCCTAAGGTGTGGGCACCAGATAATGCAACTATGTCCTGCACTTACAAAATCTTTCGAATAAGGATCATTTACTTATCGGTCTTCCATAACTATGAAAATTTAAACTGCAATCACCTTATCATCTAGTCCCATTCTGTAAAAAACTTCTCTGAGATGATTAGCGGGTGAAGGAGGGCCAGCGTCTACAGTAGAACATAAGAGCAAACATATCTAATTACTAAAATTTTGCATCAACAAAGATTAGAGACACAAAAAAAAGAGACGCATACCAGGGAGCCTTCCTTCTTCAGGACATTCATTAGGACTAGAGACATCAACTCTTCCATATTTCATTGGTATTTTGGGTCCTCCAGCTTCCTGAATTACTGAAAAGTTTAGTAAAATCTTTTCATGACCAGTAATAAACTAATGTTTTGAGAATTGACCTCTATAGCAGTAGCACTAGCCAATTGGAATAGATCAGCATAAGTGATCCCAGAGTATTTTTCTTTGATGTGCTCAATCAGTTTCAAAGCATTTACAAGACCTGAAAGCAAAAAAAAAACAAACCCCATGGTTACTTAAACAAGTAAAAGAGACAACTTTTCTATGGTGGGTAAGAGAGTGAAATTACCAGCATTAGCAGCATGCTTAAGCTCAATCTCGAATCTCAAACTCCCATTAGCTCCACCTCTCTGAGGCCACTCCTTGATGTTCTTGTTGTACGTACCAGCATCATGCCAACCCAAACGAACCTGTGATGATAACAAGAAGATAAAAGTTTCAGCTTTTACGTTACTAAAGAATCAGAGAACAAATTTGATCTGTCAATAGAACTCACCAAAATTGGATGGCAAAACTTGGTGTTGAGGAGCTCTTTGATATCTTCTCTAGCATTCTTCAATTGATCAGGATCCGAAGCTGAGCATTTGGTCGAGCTAAAGCTCCGATTCACAACACCAACTTGATGATATTTCCTCTGAAAATAACAGAGATAAGAGAAAACCCAGATCAGATTAGACCAGAATCAGCCTAACAAAGAAAACAAAACAAGGAAGTGAAATGAAGGAGGACCTGGTAGAGAGATGAAGGAGAAGAGACGATTGATCT